TACACTCTTCCCCTACACGACGCTCTTCCGATCTCCCCAAAACCCCAAAACCCCGTGAAACAGATTCATATAGAATTCGAATGTATTAAATTGTTTATTCCTCTCAGCATCATAATAAATCATTAATCATACAGATCTCATAATGGAAAACAGTTAATAAAGAGGGAATATATTCTCTGCTGCAAAATAGCAAAGCTATAAATCAAAGACTCCTTCTCATGTCAAAAGATACTCTGAAGGCAGCAATCTATTTTAGATAAAACGGTCGCCTTAGAACAACAACTATCAATTCAAAAATATTATAGAAAAATTAGTGCTTGAGAATGACAAAAATAAGCCTGCTCAGGATTAAGAAGGTTTCAATAATACAAAAAATAAGAACTTCAATGACTTCAGCACTAATACGAAGGATATGAGGGGCATCAATCAGGTGCAAAGCTTCAGGGTGAATGAACCAAAATGGAAGAAGTATCTTGAAAAGGAGAATTCTTAGCAGAAGGCTTAGATGAAGGTAGATTATATCAATAGGCTTGATGACGATAATTCTGCTTTTAATTATAATTACAAAGCAGAAATTAGCAGTGGAATTTACTAAATCAAACCAAGACAAGAAGAGGAGTAGTTAAACAAGAGATTACACATCTTTTCAGAAGAGTATTCATTCAGAAGAAAAACAAGCTAAAGTTTGATTGAGGAGTAGGCAAACTAAGACCATTTTACTTTCAATAGAAAAGTAGAACAGAGTTATCACTAGTAGAATCAGAGCAAAAACGAATCTCCAAATAATTACTATTCAAGATTAACTACGACTTAAGCTGATGGAGAAGATCTGCACTTTGAGTCCCAGGAGCTTAAACTAAGTGATATCCTAAAATCAGCAAACATGAAGGAATAATAGCTTTTATTCAGCAAGAGATCATCTAATCCTTCTTCAAGCTAAAAAGACTCAAACACTTTTCTAAGTGAGAGAAAAGACTTTGATTCAAACAATAATCCAATTAATGATAAATAGTCTTTAAAAATTACTCCTTTCGATTTAGAGAAGTAATTGAATTTGGAGCATGTGAATAAAGATCCCACTGATTAGGATTAGTACGATTCTGAATAAATAGAATTTTATGGTTGGTCCTTATCCCCTAAAAGCATCGGCAAGAAATTTAGGGACTTCGAATCTAACTTTATAGCACTAGATAGTAAGGAGGAGACAACACCTTTTATAAGTATTAAAGAACTGATCTATGGACTTAATGAATCAGATAGTTCCAATCAAGGCGATTAAATAGGCAATACTAGCAATGATATGAAAGAATTTGATTAAACTAAGGAATAGTAAATTGGTCTCAATATTACATCTGGCTCAGTAAACGAGAATCTTTTAGATTCGTTCCATGTTCAAAATGAAGTCTAGTAAAGAGTGAATTTGTGTAACGCCTCACCCGAGTCGTAGAAACGAGCTTAAAATCACTTCACAGGTTTCTCAGACAAACTATAGAGAGTAGCCAATTAAAAGTCTCTTAACCATAGAGTCTAGACTTATAACTAGCATTCACTTATGCAATTTAAGCAAAAAGCTGCGATTGGGTAATAAAATGAAGTCAAAGTTTACTCAGGTTAAGGAGTCCTTAAAAATTAGCAATAAACATAAAATTCTTCAACAACTTATTAAAGATTCTTATACAACTATCAAGACAATAACAGTCAGCTCTCTACAAATATGAATTCTAATTAATTATAATAGTAGAAAACTCCTCATGATTCTAGTAGAGATATTGCTTAACAAAACAGAGCTTTAGGATTAAGCAAAAGCAGTGAAAGATTTAAAAATTATAAATAACCTAATCAGTTTAAGAAATGATTTTAATCAGATTCACTGAAATCACATACAAACACATTTACATTTTATCGTAATTTTGAGTTAATTTTCTAATATTTATTTCATGATTTTTGGTAGAATCTTCGATTAAGGGGTTTTGGGGTTTTGGGGTTTTGGGG